ATTGAACATGTTAACATTTTACCCCAAGTAACAGTCTACATAACTCAGCCAACAACTGGAATCTTTTTTTTTTTTCTTTGTTTTAGTTTGGGGCTTGAGGGAGGTTGGTTCTTTTGTTTTGTTTTGTTTTTGTTTTTGTTTTTGTTTTGAGACAAGGTTTCTCTGTGTAGCACTGGCTGTCCTAGAACTCACTCTATAGACAAGGCTGGCCTCAAACTCAGAGATCTGCCAGCCTTTGCCTCCAGAGTACTAGGATTAAAGGTGTGTGCCCCTACACCTAGCCAAAACAAAATTTTTAAAGACACTGTTTCACTATGTAGCCCCAGCAGACCTGGAACTCTTTATATAGATTAGTGGCCTTGAACTCCGAGGTCAGCCTGATTTTAGTATTCTAATATTCCATGGAGAATAAATGCCAAATTCTGGTGTCAATTTAGGTCAATTAAATGTTTTTCAATAAAACTACAAATAAGAAATTTAGCCCTATAAGACAGACTATTGTCATGAAAATTAATCATAACATGGTAGCAAGTGCAAGTAAGAAAGTGTACTCTTATCAATGCCATGCTGCACACACGGGAGTCTCCCCAATACCAGATAGGAAAACACTGCCTCCCATCTTCTTTCAGTCCATGCTTCCCACAAGGAGAAACTGAGTCATAGAGAGTGACCAGGTTAGGACTGGGTGACTCACCAGAAGTCTTTCTTATTCTCCCAGACAAAGGGTTCATTAAGGCACACACAAATCAAAACTCAAATCAACAAGAGGAAGCCTCGGAGCAGAAGTGATTTTCAAGCACTGTGCTTGTCGGGAACACAGGTTTGGTCTAGCCAGGAATGGTGGCATTCAAAAGGTCTGCTTGGGAGACAAGAGTTTAAGGCCAGCCTGGCAACTTAGTAAGATGACAAAATTTAAACATATTTTAAAGGCCACACATGGTGGCCCACACCTTTAATTCCAACAACACTTGGGAGGCAGAGGCAGGTGGATCTCTGGAAGTTCAAGGCCAGCCTGGTCTACACAGGGAGTTCTAGGACAGCCAGGGCTACACAATGAGGCCCTACCTCAATAAAAGGTAAATATTTTTTAATTGATCACTAACCACATTTTAAAAGGGTTGAGGACATCACACAGTGTATAGCACTTGCCTAGCATCCACAAGGGCCTGAATTCAAAACTTAATACTGCAAAATAATAAGAAAAAAAGTAAAGGTTGGGCAGTAAGATGACCAGCTGGAAAACTGCTGGCCACACAAGCCCAAGCCCGACTACCCAGGGGAGAGAACTGATTCCCAAATGTTGTGCTGACAGTCACATGCTCACCATAGCATGGGCACATACACAGCAGAAACACACAGTAACAATAAATTACATTAAATATCTCAAAGAGTGCCAGAGGACTGCTTCCCACACTGTCAATGTTGGGAAAGGACCTAGATTCGTGTTTACAGCAGTAGATAAGACAGCCTCACTGTCCCTTGGGTCCTGAGGCCCCTTGGCCAAGAGAACCCAGGAAACTGGTGCCCATGTAAATGGCCCAAGAAGCTAGCTAGAAATGCCTTCATTTCTGCCACCACTAGTTTCCTAAGGGGAGACTAAGGAAAAGATGGGTAGGATTGAGGGTGCCACAGCCCAGTGACAGAGTTCGACTTCTTGTAACGCATAATCACTAAAGAAAGGCAGAATGCCCTTTGCATCTCTCAGTAGCGGGACTGTGGCTCCAGCCCAACATCTATGGAGACTGCCTGAGATTTCCCTTCATTTCATAGTCCATAGTCTTGTTATGACCTCCTCCTCCTCCTCCACCATCAGCGCAGTGAACTTTTTACCATATCAATACTCACAGGCAGCCGTGGAAATCAATGGGGGTGATTCATTCGTTTGATATTTCTAATATCAAACACCCTTGTATGGTGATCCCGTGTTCTCTTCAACTATAATATTTCATAGGATCTGTAGTGGATCGGTCAGAGGTATAGCTACTTACCAACAGACACATGACCCAGATGGGGAAAGGACACATTTCTGTCAACACCTTCTGCCAGCTGTTCACAGGTGACTCCCAACATCCTCTCCACAGAGGCTCAGCTGCCACACTGACCACTCGTCTCCCACACACAAAAGTTCAGCACAGTCAGAGAAGGTACTGGAAAGTGCTAAGGGACCAGAAGTGCGAATGAGCCCTCCTTGGGAATAGTCTGGAGAAAGTACCCTAGCCTCCTCTTTAAGTAAAACAATAGCCAAAGGTGGCCAGCAGTAAAGCAGCTACCAGGAAGGTCTGGTTCCTCACAGCCAAGTCAGGGGCAGCTTATGGGGGCAGCTACGGCAGGGTCGCCACGAAAACAAAACCTGCTGGCCTAGGTGGCATCCCGGTACTCTCTACAGGAGGCTAGCCAAGAGCAACCCCAACTAGGGCAGGTAGGAGATGCTGCCAACCAGCTCCAAACCCCACAGTCCTAGGCTCCAGCTGCCACTTGGGGCCATCCAGGCCCCATGGAGGTTTCAGTGCTCAGAGCTTGCAGATCTGCAGCCTTGTAAAGGGCCTCTCAGGAGTCCACACTAAAAACACTGCTCCACCTCCCAGTCTCTAGGAGGCTGGTCTCTCCTCCAATGAGCCCAAACCACTAACAGCAAGCCTAGAACCAGCCCAGTCCCTAGGACCCTCAGCCAGTGTGGTTCCTTTTTCGGCTTCTCATTCTCTTTGCAACAGATTGGATTTATTAAGAGCAATTTTGAATTTTTACATCACAAAAGCACAGAGCAAACCCGACTCCATTCACTCAATAGCTCCATTCCCCAAGCTAACACAGAGGCCTTGCATAAGACACAGACAGTGGTCCCAAACCTGGCTGCTCCTTAGTACCCCAGAAAAAACAAAACATCATTTTGCCTCATTTAGCTACATAATCTGAGGACTGGGGGCAGGAGGAGGAACAGGATTAAATAATCTTAACTTTCCATTTCCCAGCAAAAACAAAATCTATTTGCCACTTTATATGATTAGAGTCCCATGCAACACCCGAGTTTAATTTATACAGCAGCCAGAGATGGCTCAGCAGGTAAAAATACCTGCTAAGAGTCTGGCTATCTGAATTCTACCATCTAGCCCACATGAAGGTAGAGAGAACAGACTCCACAAAGCTGTCTTCTGATCTCCACATGTGTGCAGTGGCATACATACACGTGGACACATGAATATCACACACATATATCATGCACAGATGCAATACTACAGACACGTGCTCACACACGCAGAGGCATGCATCCGAGCGCAAGCAGAGAGAGAGAGAGAGAGAGAGAGAGACACACACACACACACACACACACACACACACACACACACACACACACACACACACACACACACTACCCTTTACATTTATAAAAGCTCAAAACAGTTTTTAACCTAACATTGGCAACAAGCAGAACCAGCTGAAGGCTGAGAGCAGCATGGCTCTCACCTTAGAGGTGAGCTCCCAATAGAGGCAGAGGCAGGTGGGCCTCTTTGCAGAATCTTGATCTAAATAGAGTTCTATGCCACACAGGCCCAGAAACCCTATCTCAAACCAATATAAAAACGAAAAGCTTTGGTCATCTTAGTGTTAGTCTCCCACTGTGTCCATTCAACAAATATTTATAGGAATGCATTAGATGCCAGTTACAATTTTCTTAATCCTTTGACAATGCCATACATGTATAGAATGTTTGATTATTTAAACCTGTTTTCATTAAAGGAATTTGGTACACAAAGAGACAATATGCAATGCTGTTTTAAAGATGTTAATTTGGGTTTGTGACTGTGGTAAAACCAAAATAGAAAGCCCATTTGCAGTTCCTAAACACCTCCAGGGCACACTTTCAGTTTCACCGGTGGCTGTTGTATGGAAACACAAATTTCTAGGTCCCACACCCAGAAGTTTTGACTGAAAAAATCCAGGGTGGGGCTTAGAAATCTGCAGTATTTTGAAGTACCCTAAACAAGCCAATGCCAAACTAAACATAGCCTACAGCTACTAGGTAAACAAAGGTTTTGTCCCTAGTCTAGTCCTGGCTGAAAGGGAAGAAAGATCTTGGCTTAGAGTCCCTTAGAGCTGGAGGTATATCTCAGATAAATTCAACTGTGATCACCTCATGTGTCCTGCCTGAAAATAAAAACCCCCTGGTGGGACTCAGACTGAGGGCTTGAGGGGGAGGGGATTAGAGACATTAAAGTGGGAAAATGCTGCGTAAAACTGAGTTCCCGGACAGGAAAAAAAAAAAAAAAAAAACAGCAGGCATCATTTGTCATGGTGCTGAGATAACTCTTCAGAATTAACAACCACTGCAAGGCAGCAAGGTCTCCCAGCAAGAGGGCACAGGTTACAGGAAGGGCAGTGGGACCACAGCCCAAGACCTTTGCCTTCTGTGGATCTGAAAAACTAAAGCTGGAGGTGACACATGTCCCCATGTATTTCTGTAATCTATGTTAAGGATACATAGCCACTGATAGGAAGGAAGGAAGGAAGGAAGGAAGGTAGGAAGGAAGGAAGGAAGGAAGGAAGGAAGGAAGGAAGGAAGGCGGGAAGGAAGGAAGGAAGAGTACCTGGGACAGTCGTGGCACACACCTTTAACCTCAGCACTCAGGAGGCAAAGGCAGGATGATCTGAGTTTGAGGACATCCTGGTCTACAAAGAGAGAGTTCCAGGACAGTCAGGGCTAGAAAAACCCTGTCTTAGACAACAAAATAATGGGAGGGGGTGTAAATAAATCAATCTGAGTCTTTTCCACACTTTCTGAGACTAATATAACCACTAAAAATGTTGGATATTAATCAAGAGGTTTGTAAAGTACTTAAGTGCTGTTTTGTTGACATTCAAACATTAATTTCCTCTAAAAACTCTTCTTAGGGACCAGCTCACTAAACTGTTGGTTCAGATTATTATACTGCTGATAAGATAAAAATGTAAGATAATTTAATGTAAAACAGTCTTCTCCTGAGCCCCCAGCCTTTCACACCTACCCCGGAGGCTGTCGGTTGCGTTGAAGGAGATGTGTTTTTGGTGCAGTCATCTGAATTAGAAGAGGAGGAGGTTGGAGTCATAGGAACAGAGTTACTGCTATTACCTGCAAGAGACCAGCCATGAGTACATCTACCTCTGTGTCAAAGCTGGAAAATACTTGCCGGATAAAACAGCATTTTATTATACTCACCAGAGCAAGCCTTTGCCTTATTTATGTTTTTAGGTTTTCGTTTCCTGGTTTGAATCCCTTCTTTTTTCATAGCAAGTGGTCGAGGCACCTAAAAAAATGTTCACAAAAGACCTACTTTATTATACTGAAGGAAGCACAAAAGATGTGATTTTAGTACTAAAATCCCTCTTTTCAAAGAATCTGGGATATAGCTCAGTGGCAGAACGGTTGTTGTGCTACCTGAGGCCATAGGTTCCATCTCCAGAACCACAGGACATGTATCTTCATTTTCTCAGTGCTAAGGACTGAGGTAAGCTAGGAAAGGGCACTGAGCTACATCTCCAGCTTTAAACTAATTAAAGACTTTGGTATAAATTTCATCCATATATATGTTGATATTTATTAATACATAAATGTTGCATACATATTCTAAATGCATAAAGATTTTCCCCTCTCCCCCAAAATAGAGATTCCTTCAGGGGAAAATGAAGTTTACCATGGACACAATTCAATATTTTCAACTTTATGTATATTATCTGAAATATTTACTTTTAATATCCTTATTTAAAAGAGATAAAATACTTTCTCCCTACAACACAGGTTATTTCCTTTGTAAAATGAGCCATTATTATTAGAGGCCAGTGGCTAATACTAAGAACACCGGCACTCAAAGGCTAAAGCAGGAAAATTGCAGCAACCTGGGCTAGTGAGTTTGAGGTCAGCCTAGGCTATAGAATGAGACCTTGTCTCAAAACCAACCTAAGATTAAGATTTATAATAACGTCTATAGCCCTTTAATGAAGTATAGACTCTAACTGAAGATATATTTGCTAACTTCTTGAGATAAAAACCTAAAAACCTTCCGCCAAGGGTGGATCTCTGTGAGTTTGAGACCAGCCTGGTCTACAAGAGCTAGTTCCAAAAAAAAAAAAATAAAATAAAATAAAAAAAGAGTTGGTTCCAGGACAGCCTCCAAAACCACAAAGAAACCCTGTCTCGAAAAACAAAACAAAACAAAAAGCAAACAAACAAAAAACTTCCGCCAAATTTCAAATTTCTTAGAGCTTAAGTCTGAAGTAATCATTATTTTGTTATCAATTCTGAAATGTACCCTTTTCGTTCTTACGTTTCTTTCTTCTTTTTTTCTTCTTGATGTAAGGTTTCTCTGTGTAGCCCTGGCTGTCTTGTAGTAAAGGCATGCACCACCACACCTGCCTCATTTTTACATTTTCTAAAATTGAGATGTTTTACTAAAAAGGTCAGCATCGCATTGGTTGGTTGTGCATTTGATTTATTGGCCCCTTGGTAGCTGAGATGACTGGCTCACATTACAGTTGATAGCAGCTGGGATTTGATTCGGTGCACACACAACACACTCTCAGTTTCTCATTTCCATATCTTTTGACACCTTTTATTCACTTACTGATTCTGCTTTATAATTGAAAACATACAGTTTAGATAGTAAATGTTATGTATTCATAAACGGAACAAATGCATACCCCATGGAGTTTCATATAGAGTCCGCAAGCATTGCACACAGGTTCACCCTCGGCATTTCTACGCCATAAGGTGGTGGTTGTAGTGTGACAGTTAGCACAGGACAATCCAAGCCGCCGTGATGAAGGCTAGAAAACAGCACATAAGACACTAAGTAAAGAAGCATGATTTTACATATTTTAATGTTTGTATATGTACATCATGTTCCTATCTTCAACAAAAGAACACATTCCCAGTTAATTATACATGAAATGTCCCTTCAGAACAAAATCTGTGAAGTGTAATTAGGCAAACCTTTCTTGAGTTTGGCTAGTGTGCTTGATCCCACAGGTGAGGTTACTTTACCTCACCTGTTATTAACGGTTCTAGGATGAGATGGGAGCAATCGTACATTGACCACGCAAAGCTGTCACAGAATCATTCATGTTCCCATGGTGGCTGTTCCTCTAAGAATTCAGGTTTCCACATATTGTTGTTAGGGAATTACATTTACTGCAAGTTGTCCCAAACAGAGCTAAGTTCTAGAACATACCAAAAATACAATCACCGCCGGGCGTTGGTGGCACACGCCTTTAATCCCAGCACTCAGGAGGCAGAGGCAGGCGGATCTCTGTGAGTTGGGGGGCAGGCTGGTCTCCAGAGCGAGTGCAGGATAGGCTCCAAAGCTACACAGAGAAACCCTGTCTCGGAAAAAAAAAAAAATACAATCACCTGCAGCCCACTCCGCTGTCACAATATGAGATATGATACACAATCAAAGCCACCAACATGCTAAATGGCTTTGGTCATCTAAGAATTAGGGACAACTACATCTATTTTTCAGGTACATGTAGAGAAAAATCAACCAGAAACTATCAAAAGATGAGCGAGAACAGGCTAGCAGCAGTACAGACCTTTAATCTCAGTACTGGGGAAGCAGAGGCAGTCGGTCTCTGGGTCCTAGGCCAGCCTGGGCTACACAGAGAAAACCTGTCTAGAACAAAAATAAAGAAAAACTAGAAAGAAAATGAGTGAGAAAGAAAAAGTTGGGGATCTGAGTAAAGAAATGCACTGTAATGGTCATCCTGGTGCCTGAATTCCGTTCTGTTTTTACAAAAGATAGCAAGCTCATTGAACAGCATTTTTTTTGGGGGGGGGGGGTTGGTTTTTCAAGACAGGGTTTCTCTGTGTTGCTTTGGAGCCTCTCCTGGCACTAGCTCTGGAGACCAGGCTGGCCTTGAACTCACAGAGGTCCACCTGCCTCAGTGCTGGGATTAAAGGTGTGTGCCACCAACTCCCGGCGAACAGCATTCTTTTAATGCTAACACTGCCTTGTATATGGTTAACTCACTTTCATTTGTCCCAATTTTTCTTCATATAGT